AGCGGGGTTGCGTGATACTGAGGCGAGTGACAGATGTGGATGGAGTCGAGGGGTATTTCGGTTTCATCATAGGTAGCCAAACGGCAACCCCCGATCTCGGGGAAAATGCCGTCTAAACGTGTGTTGTTGTTGTTGTTGTTTATTGGGTGTATTTATATTTATCGATATACTAAAAATGTTTATATTTGTATCTCATATTGTTGCACAACTAGTTAAGGTGGCCAGCACATGCTTTCGTATATATGATCTCCTGTTTCTTTTCAAATAAAATTCTGGAAAAAAAAATGTTGAAGCAAGTTGTATAGTCATACTCGTCTAATGACGCTGGATGATAAACTTGAACAGTCATTAACTTCATTCAAAAATTAAATGAATGATACAGTTAAAAAAATCTAAATGCTGTAAAAAGCGATGTCTGTTCAAGAAACTATTAAAGATGCTTACGAAATCAAAGACAAAGAAATGAATATCGTTTTGTTTAATTTTGCTGAAGACCCAGTTGTCAGTGAAGATAGAAGAAATGTGATAGGATTTTTAGTCTGTTTCTGACAACATTCTAAAAGAAGATGACATTACAAAATAAATCGACAGAGCAAAATACCAAACACAACTTCTGCTTCACGGCCGGTGGTGGTGCAACTCAACAGTCGCTTTAAAAAGCTAAGATAATGAGAAAGCTTTTCAGAATCAAGTTGCTTGATGCTTGATGAGAGTTTGAGAAGAGTGCGAATCAGTGATGGCCTCACTAGAGATCAACGTAGTCATTTTAAAAACTTGTATTGGAAGCAAAAAATAGAGTCAACCGATCCTGATTTTTTATATCGGGTCAAGAATGCACGATATTTCTATATTAGCATTACTCGATGTTAGTGCGGCATTTGGCTGCGTTAACCATTCGATCTTATTAAAGAAGCTTCAAAACAACAACAAACACCGTTTTGGACGAATTTTCCCCGGAGATCGGGGGTTGCCGTTTGGCTACCTATGATGAAACCGAATGTCATCATAAATATTTTATTGGCTAATTTTAACGCAGGACGCCCTTCCTTACGCAACCACAGTTATAAACGGTGGGTCTAGCCTTTGATGCTCCAACATCACTCACAAGGCAGTGAGGGTCAGTTTAATGTCATAACCAGGACATTGTCATAACCAGGACATATTAAAGAAGCTTCAAAACTGTCTTGGAATTTCAGGAGGGATCATCAGGTGGTTAGAATCATACCTTTCTGGTTAAAAGCAACAGATTTTGTTTAACAATGGTTTATCATCCATTCAAGAGGTAAATAATGGTGTGTCGCAGGTTTCGGTACTTGGACGTTTACAGTTTCTGCTATACACAGCTGATGTATTGAATATTATTAACTCATTCGGGTTCAAACATCATGCGTTTACGGATGATATCCAGATAGTTGCTAGCTGTGACGTGGCCTCCTCTCAACTCCTTGTCAACAGATTTCATCAGTGTTTGTCACAAATTGACTCTTGGATGATAGAGCATGAGCTTAAATTAAATCAGCAATGAAGTTCAATTATATCGGTCGGCCCACAATCATAGCAATTTTTGATTGCTCAATGACTAAACATTATAGCTAGGGAGTGTCATCATCAACTGCGGATGTTGAGGTTTATTAGGAGTTAATTGAATGATGTCTCATTAAAAAGCTTAGCCTATGCAATTATCCACACAAAATGAGACTACTGCAACACTCTGTGTTACGGTGTTTCAAAACAAGCAGTTCTGAAAACTACAACTGATTCAAAATCGTACTGCAAAATTAGTTGTCGAAGGTTGGAAGTACGATCATGTGAAAATCCTTCTGAAGTGAATGATTCATTATTTTTTTGAAAGTGAACCAGATGGAGTTTGCTTAGTAAAACATCAATCTAAAAAAAGAATGTTGTTCTCATGTCACAAATTCACAAAGAACGATTGATGAAAATAATAAAAAAAAGCCTGAAAGTATTTTTTTTACTTATTCTTTATAATGCAGCTCTGTCAAACGTAGAGCTGCTTACATGTTATTCTACACCTATAATTAAACCTTCGTGCGACAAAGGTTGTACTATCCAAACCACACGACGCACATACACATTATATATGCACGTGCAAGCATCGCATCATACGCGTATGATGGTCTTTGAGTTTCGTACCGCGCGAAATATGGCCCTTCTACTGACTGAGCTAACTCGGTGACCAATGATTGTTTTACAGTCATAACAGAAGTGGAGTAGATGTGGTGGATTCAATGGACTGGCAGATGACTTGTTAATTTGGAACCAAAAAATAGCACTAGGTAGTGTTCTACAACATGCTGGATATTGTGGGAATAAATGCTTGGATTTTATGTCAAAAAATATGAACAATTGTACATCTAGAAAAAATTTCCTTTCAAGCTTTTAGAGAACTCTGCCACAAAAAACAATACAACAATCTACCAATATTTCATTTCACACTACAGCTTTCATTTTAGCAGCTAGAAGAAAATTTTTTTCAGGAATTCACTTTATAAAAAATGTATAAAACATTTTAAGCTTTGAAAGTTGTAAATTCGCTTGACTTTTTTATAACTGATGGGGTTGGAGTTTTTTTCCTGCAAATTTTTCAACAATATTTATCATTTTTCGTTTAAAATAATTTTAAAATCAAGAATAATAAGGTTAATTCTTTTCTCATTAGCATAATATTCATACGGTTTCATAAACAGCCTGCATAATTTATGCGGGTTTGCATGCTAAAGCTATTTTATTAATAGCAATTTTGATACACAAGTTGTAGTGCATGCTTATTCATTTATACTCTACTATACCCTACTATACTCTATAGTCCATTTAATTCCATTTCACTTGTACATCGTATTTGTTTATCTGTACGCGATGCAGACTGTAGTAATCATTTGATTCTACAGGATTTGTTGCAACCAAAATTTTACCTAAATTATTAATTGCTATGTAAGGAGAGAGAAAGGTGCGTGTGTTTTAAATTGGTTTGTACGGATATATTGAACATCTTCAATGTATTAATATGTTTGTTTTGGTCAATAATTAACATTGAACATTTAAAATCTTGTCAAAAATGTAACTTATGTAATCAGATAAAATGTGTCAATATTTCTGAAAATTTGTATAAAGATATTGTAGCCATTGAAAATTTAGCTTGGTGCTGCGAAACATGTTTGAAAATTTTTAACCCTAGCATTATATTACCATTGGTCAGAAAATTTTAGTACTTGAAAATAAACTTAATGGAGTTAATTAAGAGTTAACAATAAATAATGAAAAACTGAAACAGAATAGAAAAGCTTATTTATTTATTGACCAAAACAAACATATTAATACATTGAACAAAAAAAGTTCTATATTTAAACAGCGCTTGCAGCTTTGGTCAGTTTGGTTGATTAAAATTTTTTAATATTTAAACAGTGTTTGCTGTTTTTGTCAGAGTTCGGCTAATTTGTTGCGTAATTGGTTATTCAGGTTTTTTTTTACATTTGCTCCAAATTGCACAGGATACCAACATTAGTTAAGAGTTGCACTCTATTCAGTACTAATTCCATATAGTTTTTTTTTATTAATTATCATGAATAAACTTGTTCAAATAAAAAAGAGAAGTTTTGGGAAAAAGTCTGTTGTCAAATAAAAAAATTGTTAAAAAAATAAAACTGGCAGAATGTTGTAAAACGTAAAAAAGGCTGTAGGTGCTTGTAGTAAAAACCTATGTGAAGAATGTTATTTCTAATAACAAGGACGTAATTTTGTAATGAAAATAATAAAAATTACTGAACATATTTGTAAACTTACTTTTAACATGTAAATTGTTTCATTGGGTCATTTGACCCATTCAGTTGTTATAATTATACAAAATATTGAGTAAAAACAGTGTTGTGTTTGAAATTAGTTTTAATATATGCTTCAAATATCGGAAAAGTTAGAAAGTCATAAAATATCAAACGTTTAAGTCAAATGGTTACATCAGGGTAATTAATTAAAAACGACTTTGGAGTCAATTGAATTGGGTGGCCGTTCTAGTGTTCATACAATAAAAACTTTTATACTCATAAAAGTTTATATCTAGAATACCAAATTAAGTTGAAATATTAAGTACCTAGATTGTTCATAGAACATAAAGAATGTAATGTATAAAATTCAGAATATAGAATATATTAGAAGTGTTAAGCAAATAAATAATTTTAATTAAATCTTATATGGAAATGAAATTAACAGATTTTATTTTCAATTTATCTACGGATTTCGTTCATAATTGAAAATTTCTTAATTTGGGTTTTTATTTACATTTGCAACTTCATGTTAAACAATAAAGTAGGAAAAAAGGTTTAATAAAAAATGACTAAAAAGTGATACTCAGACTAAATTACAATAAAATTCTAGAGTTACTTATTAGTTAATAAAAAAATAAGATTGCTAACAAAATAAAAAACAAACAGACCAACAATTTAAAAAACAAATAAAAAGTATTTGAAAATTCAACTGCAGTAAAGAACCTGAGAGCATTCCTCCTGATTGAATGAAGTATCATTTGCAGCCCAACAACAATGCTCCCTGTTAAGCCAAAATGCTTCCAAACAAACGCCTTCCTTCAAGTCCGACATCCACGTTGCTCCGATGTCAACCACTGCCGCGCACACACCTGAAACACGACGAAATGGTGAAAAGACATTATAGAGAAATGGAAATTAGAAATAAAAATGTAATTGAATGAGAATTGAAAAATAAAAGTAAGCAATGATAGAGAAGTAATCAATGATAAAGAAGTAAGCAATGATATATAGGCCAAAAATGCATCAAATTTTCCTGAAGTGAGAAGAGATCAATGAAATGGAAAAAGCAAGATGAGAAGTCAGGGATTGGATAAAAAATCAGGATACCGTTATTGAAATAAAGAATTTTATGAAATAAAATTTAGGGAAAGAAATGAGAATGGCCTAAAAAATTTGAAATTAAGTGCCAGTGAATATCAATTTATACTCATCTTTAATATGTTTTTACCCATTTTTATTAATACCTTTATGTAACCATTAGCTTTAAAATAGCATTTTAAAACAACAGAATAACAGAACCAAAAACAAAATAACAAAACAAAAAACAAAATAACATCCATACTAACTTTATATATGATATAGAATGAAAGAGTAGGAGTTAAAAAATATGACAAAAAAATTTCCCTAATAAAAGATTTTCCATTTGAAAGCTAGCTAACCAGCTGCACAGCCAACAAGAAGGACGCAAACCCAGCCGGACCAGGCATCGTGAGCACTCTTCAACTTCTGAAAGCAGCCCTCCTGTCTCCTCTTCATGATGTGTCGATGTCTCATTCGATCTCTGGAAATGTCCCTCAACCAATCAATCGTGTGGAAATCATCATACTGGCCAATGCCAGGGGGCAGTTCTTCGAGGGCCTCCATCAATGAGCCTGACATCAACATTTTTCCAACATTGTTAACTTATCAAACTATGGTTTGGTAATAAATTAACCTTTATCAAGATTCTGCTATTGTATCTTATCTTATTTCAATAATATCATTTACTTTTGTTGCCAATTTTTAATCCATTCAAAACACTTCCGCAAGCATTTTCTGATTAAGTGAAATATTTTTCAATGTAGATTTACTATGAATAAAAGTATAGAAAGATAGCGTAACTATTAACAATGTACACAAGGTATTGACTGGCCAATGAAATAAATTATGCTAATGAGCATATTTCAAGAAAATATTCTGTCTTTTAATAAATTAATATAAAAATATAAATAAATAATATATTATATAAATTAATATAATGAATGCCAATGAGAAAATGGTAGTTGGTCTTACAATAAATATTGTAAATGATATTAAATTTACATGATGTAGAAGACAAATTTCACCAAATAATAAACATTCCTAAGCATGAACAGCAATGGACAAAATTCTCCATACAAACACACACAAGCACGCACGCACACACACGCACACACACAGATGCACTGAGGCATAAATGTAAGCTTAACAAGATCAATAAAAAATTTATTCCAAACCTTTTAAAATAAATCTAATCAAGTTTTGGTATAAAATAATGAATACATTTAAAAAAAATTAGGTTGCAAAGAAAGATTGAAATTAAAGGTTATTTTTAAAAAATTCCAAAATGATAACTTGAATAGTGCTGGTCACCAAATTATATTAAGTGAAAATAGCTATCATTCAGAGGAATAAATGCTGATATTAAAAATAAAATGACGTCAATTAGAATGTCAAAAATTGTCTCAAAAATCTTTTTTATAAATATTTAACCGTGAGATTTATCCATGTTGTACGAGACCTGGGTGAAATCATCAGATATGCCATTGGTTCTCCTGTGGTTTTGTGATTGCCTCTCTGAGGAAATCCCTACATCCAATTCAATGCCGTCCATTTCTAAAATATTAAGAAGGCTTTTTAATTCAAACAAATGAAAAGGTTGTCAACATATCACATGATGATGGATAAATTTTAAAATTCACATTTCATTTTAAACAAAAACACATTTGAAAACTCATTTCAACATAACCAAATAAAATAATGAAACCGTGAACATTTACAATTACATGATTTATTATATAAAGTAAGAAAATTCATTCATTGGAGGAATTCATTAAGGAATTCAAGAAATTCATTAAAAAATCCTTAGCTTTTTTTTGCCTTTTAAAACTTTGCAGACATGAACTCTATTTGAAAAAAATTAAAAAAATTTGGTCACCTCCCCTTTTTTATGTATAAAATGAAAATAAAAAAATAAAGTTTTTTCCAATTCTTGTGCTTCTTTTGTATGCTTAACTATTTAGTTTAGTAATTTATTTACAGTTTCAAAAGTACTACTAATCCAAAACATGTTTGAACCTTATTTTTCCATTTTGACAGAATTGTTCCATATGAAAATTAATCATTATTAAAATATTTATTAAAAATTAAATAAAAAAATAGAACTATTTCAACAGTAACAATTAGACCAAATTATTCAATAAATTAAACAACAAAATATGAGAAAAGCTAATGTTAAAAATATAAAGTATCATTTTCTATTTCTATTACATATTGATCATATGATCATATGAATAAATTACATTCTACAACATAATACTAATAATAAATACAAGTGTACAATGTACACCGTACATACTCCATACACCTCAATACATATTCTACCACGCATACATGATATAAATTATACTTAAAGTTTGGTTCAAACAAAAATAAAATACTACAATCCATTTTAAACCACACAGTAGACACAAATTTTAATTTATAAATGAAATACACGGGAGAAGCTATTAGGCTTTCTTGGCTTATTAGCTTACTTATGAAATTGCATGGATTAATACAGCTAATACAAAATATTTACTTGGCTAAATAATTTTAAAACAATATAATTAAATCAAATTATGTAATTTGAAATTATTTTTGTCAAATTATATAAAAATATTGTTTTTGTATTGAATACATGGTGGCTTGGTAGAGTTCTATGAGGCCCGGTGAGTCACTATTTTTTTCCAGCAAGTAATCTAAGGCTTCAGTAAGCCACATGAATATTATGTCAATAAAAAAAACTTGATGAGATCCAATATTAAAAAAAAATGAATATAGTTCATTTTTAGAAGTGAACCTATGGCTTTAGTAAGCCACCATTGTGTTTACAAAGTAAAAAGATATATTTTTATTTAAATTATAAAAATAATTTTAAATTATAAAATTTGATTTAAATACATTATCTTAATTTTAACACATTATGTCGAGTAAATATTCTTTATTACATATTTGTTAAACTTAGAAACCAAGCAATTTCGTAAGTAGGCCAATAAGCCAAAGAAGCCAAATAGATTGACCCAAAACACACACCCTCCTGATTTGGATTTCACAAGACAAGACAAAAACAAAAGAATAAACGTTATTATTAATAAAATTAAAAAATAATAAAATAATAATTATTATTATTTTTGAATTAGTAGTAGCAATAGTTCATCATCATCATCACAACAAAACTTTAAACTTTTTATAATTAATTTTAAAATATTATTAAATTAAAAAAACTAATAGAAACAAATATAGTTTTTGTTTAGGTAGCTGACGATTAAATAATATAATAATAAAATATTATTTAATTCACTTATTGGATGTTTTTTTCAGTAGCAAACATGACGCGAAATAATTTGCAACATCAACAAGCTTATTCTCTCATTTCATTAACTCAAGATTTAATCAACGACAGCAGAGTCACCAATCATTTAAGACAAGAAATAATATTTGAAATATAATAAATTTTAAGTATGGAACGCCAAAATCATTTCAATGAGTATTTACTACTGAGAAGAACAATCATATCATTCTATGTGTATATACATAACTATATCAAGAAGCGTTAAATCAATAAAAATGCCAATAGTTTAATGGAACATATACGTAATATGCTAATTACTCTTTAATGGCACATATGATAATTGCTCCTTACAAATCTTAGATATACTTTTTCATACCGCAAAAACCAATAAAGGACGTATTAATGATGGATTCCGCTAGCTTAGTGGAACATGTACCACATAAACCAAACTTGTACTAAATGATTTGTGAAAAACTAAAATAGTTTTTCCAGAGCATCGAATTATTGAATATGATTGATGATTATCATGGATATATCCATAATTAAAATTTAATTTTTTTTTGGTTCCAAAAATTTTAAAATTGATTGCAGTTGTATTTGAGGTGTTGAATTCAAAAATGAAATTAGTTTTTTTCTATCAGCTCTACTTTTTGTTGGTTTGCAGTGTTTGACAGCGTGGTAGCAAGAAATAGTCATATAGTTCATTGTGGTGAACTTGAAACAGCGTTTTTTAGGTTGTTATATTTGCGTATAAAACATAAAAGTTGTTTAAATAATCTTGATGTTTTTTGTTATATATATGTGGAGAATACACATTCAAAGAAAATCGAAAAACTGTTTGTAATTTCACAAAGAAAGCCTACCTCGGTTACTTTGGTGTTGGTCTTGGTGACCAGGATAAGACTTGGGCACTACACCAGGTTCATAAAACTTGTGCAGAACATTAACCATTTACGGCAGAGGACTCGAGGAAAAACTAGGGCTTCCAGAAATACCCTTTTTAAAATCAGAGCATCAAATTCATATGAAAAAAAGATTATCCTGGCACCAAAACAGCTGTTCAGTGTTATCTTATTCAATATCATCGGTAATTCTACTTATGTAAACAACAACAGATGATTGCGACAATAGGTGATTGGGTTGATCAGCAGATCTGAAAGTTTGTTCGCGAGGTTTCGTGTTTCAACATTTTATTATTATTATTATTATTATTATTGTTAATTGTTATTATTTTAATTATTAGATTTGTTGGTGAATAATTTTCAATTCTTTAAAAAGTAATTTTAATATAATTATAATACTTAGTTAATTTGTTTGCTATTCTCTTCTAAGTTTAATTTAATAATTAATTTAATTAAGTTAATTAATTAAGTTAAATGTTAACGTTAGTTAAGTATTCTCTATTCTGGTCTAACTAGTTTTAAATTTTTTTTAAATTAAACTTTAAGTTTTTAAAATATTAAAATTATATAAAAAAAAATAAAAACAATTAATGAACATAAAAAATTATAAAAAATAACATAAAATGATAAAATATACCAAAAAAATTAAATTATAAAATGATTTAAATAATAATATTAATTGATTTTGAATTCCAATCAATATTATAATGATATAATTATAATATAATGTATAATATAATCAATTAAAATTAATTGAATTTAACTTGAACATTGCCACATCACAATATAATAATTCATTCATTAGTGATTAGATTAGTCATTACTACTCAATTAGCCATTAGGATTAGATTAGTAGGGCATTTTAGAGAAGAACATGAATTGAAAATAAAAATTTCATATTTTTAAACCATATTGAATTTTTGTTTAATTTATATTTCATTTTATCTAAAAATGAATTTTTTTAAAAGTTGAATAAAAAAAATTAAATTAAAAATAAATATAACTTACTTTCTGTATTAAATTAAATTAATTAAATACTAAATTAAATTACTAGGCTAGTAACTTAGTAAATCATTTGTGCAATCACCAGACCAGGGTCTAATTCTAATGAATGAATAGAATAATAAATATCTTACTTTTTAAATTTCAACTTTTTATTTGATATTTTTTTATTATAATAACTAATTAGCTATAGTAATAAATGAATGAATTATTATTAAATTATAATAAAAATTTTTGCATGTGTAGTTTTAACATCTTACCAAGTCATTTTTTATATCTTTGATAAATTATAATTATTATAAATATAATTTAAATTAAATAATAATTCTATTTTCAACAAATTTAACAATTTCCAGAAAATTCTAATAAGAAAAATTGTAAAGATAAACTTTAAATTTATTAATGCCAACAATTTGGTAGAATTCACACAATACTGTATAAAATATGGTCTCCTTCCAACCTTTGATAAACTGTAAATAATTGTAATTTTGTTTTTCCAAATATTCAATTTAAAATCAGATAGCAAAATAATAAAAAAGACTTTGAAGGGACCAATTTTTCAAGCACCACATGGGTTGACCAAAGAGGAATTGTAAACAAACATAATACTTCATTATCATTTTAATAAATTTTTCTAATTAAATTATTTGGTTTTTTATAGTTAAGAAGTTTTGGTAAGCCTAAAATACCTTAAATTAGAATTAGCAATATATACCTTAAATTAGCATTAAATTATTACATTATTTTTTATAAATTTTTTTTTATAAATTTTACTTTCTTGACTACCTTACTGTTGATATTTATGAAACAAGCTTAAGCTGGGCCAGGGTTATGCGAAGAGATTATAATTATGTGTGTATTAAATACATATAAATTAAATATAAAATTAAAAAATTTGACGCCTTACCATCAACCTGTATGGGCTAATTTAAAATGTCATCATGTCAAATTTTCATTTGCCGTCTGCCTCAGTTTATACCGTTTTAGTTTTCAGACCAGCCTTAAACTAATTAGACCGACACAATATGGAAGAGGGGAGCTTAGATTAATAAAACAGTGTTGACTTTATTGGTATAAATGAAACATTTACATGAACTTGAATAAGTGCACTTTATCAGGTGCATAAGATAGTTAAAAAAATTATGTTTTACGAAAATCAGTGATAAAGTATTAATTTCATATCATTAAAAATGTTGTAATGTTTTTTTGTGAAAAAGTTATTAAATAAAAACATAAATAGCAAACACAAAGTAATAAAATCTGTGTGTAATTTTTATTTTCATCTCAAAATAAGAGCAATTTTTTAATGGGCACATGAAAACAGTTCAAAATATATTATATATATATTATATTCCTTTTTGTTTGAAAATAAATTTTCATAGTTGAATATTGCTTATGTTTAACTTTCTGTTAAACAAACAAAAATGTTTTTTGTTATAAAAATTGTTTAACTTGTTTTATAATTCTTACAGTTAATGTTGAACCTTGAAAATTTCATCGAACCATGAAGGTTTGTAATTTATTACATTTTTTTAAACTAATGTCAATTTTTTCAAAGTGCTTGTTATTACATGCATGCCAAAATGTTCATATTGACTGCAACTATGAGTTCATTAAAAATATCTTGGTAATTAAACGTGAATTAAAAGTAAAAATTTCATAATTTAGGTTCACAAACTGTTATTTATTTAAAAATACAAAGTGTTTAAAGACCATAATTGGTAAAAGTTGTTAAAGAGCTTGTTAAGCATTGTAATCCTGTGGTGTGCATTCTGGAATGACAAGTGGAAAGGGTGCTCGAGAGTCAGGCAAGAATATCTAAAATCATTTGGTTGAGAATTTAGTTCAGATGATCGAGACGGTGGATTTAGTTCACCCTATCTCGCTTTTTTTGTTGCGCGCTGACTTTGTACGAACTAATATAATTTGTCTGAAACTCAGACTTTAATGTGCCTCGTGGATATGTTTCCATGCTTTTTTGCACACGTATAAATATGCAAAATTAAAACTTTTATCCGAAAAAACTATTTTTTGTTTTTCCAGGATGTAGGAGTCGAGCAATGATTTGTCCGACTCCTTGATTTAAAATTTTTCGTCGATGACTCCTACAAAAAATTTTCATTTCCGGCTTTCGGCTTTTCAAAAAAAATTCAACTTTGCTTTACAAATTTTGAATAAATGTCCTAACTTCATAATAAAATTAAATACTTTAAATCAAGATACACTTGAAAATAGTAGCAATTTTATTTTTCTCCTTCAAGTATAAATATATTTGATATTCATTTTAAGCTTATGGTTTAAACAATTTTGTAAAATAATTATGCTAATTTTTCTTGGCTGTATAAAAATTGATAACGATTTTTTCTGCTGCGTCGCAAATCAAAAAATGCTTAGTTGGCAAATTTTATACAAATAAAAAAAAGCAACATTCTTACATCTTCTAAATACGTAAAACTCACAAAATTTAAAATAATATTTTGTGATGAGTTTATTTCAACTCAGACAGTTTGTGATTGTTATAGTAGATAAAAAAAAGTAGAAGAAGTTTAAATACTTTTTGGAAACTGTTGAATAAAATGTTAAACTTTAATGGAAGACGTTAGGAACATAACAGATATTTGGGATTACGAAATATTATATCACAACATAACGGTCTTAAGAAGCTACATTAAAACACAACTATTCCATAAATCTTTTTATGGAATGGTTGCATTATACAATTAACATTTTGGAAGGAATTATTTACACATTTAATATAAAGGTTAGACCAAACGTGTATATTATGATTTATAATTTAAAAAAATACTTCATTATAAATTCAAATAAAAATTTGAACACAAAATTCAGGCGGAAAAATTATGAAGCCTTAATTTTTTTATTCAACATTTAAATGTTAAAAATGTCGCATTTAAATAGTATTTACCACATCAGCTCATAGGTACAACTTTTGTGTATGAATAAATTTTTTTGAAAAGTTAAATTCAAATTATAAATTTCGCCACAGTTAACATTGTGTGCAAATTAAAAGACAAAAAATTTTTTTGGTACATGGTTGCATAGCTGGTTTTGTAATATTTATCATCTGTATTATAGATGATGGCACATGGTTACAAAAAATTATACCTTTTAAAAAACACGAGCTTGGAAAATCATAACAGAAATATAAATTTAACAAATGTTTTCGGAGTCTAAAAAAAAATTTTCGACTCGGCTTCCGCCTTTCTGAAAATTCCTGCTCCGACTTTCACAATAACCTCCACCACCCCTGATTTTCAAAACGTTTTATTACAAAAAAAATTATCAAAAAAATTAACCAAGTGTTACCATATGACTGGCAGCTCATCTTCTTCAGCTTACCTATTGAATCATGAAAATTTTTAAATTATATTTGATAAAAGATAGAGAAGCGAACATGAAAATCATATTTGATAAAAGTGGTTTATCTCACATTTATTCAAATTTTTAAGTTGCGTTCACTTTTTTATACTAGGTTGTTCGCATTTATGATACTGGAGTAGGATAAAAAATCTAAAAATTTTCATCTTTCGACTCCGTGAAAGTCCGTAAAAAGAGTCGGGTAAAAAATATCTAACTCCGTCACTGAGATGAATTCAAATATTTTTTGATTTTTTACATTAAAATTGTCAATTTTCTTATAAACGTTTTTGAGACATAGGACTAGTGTTACGTATATATTTTTTTTAGTCAGATGGTGACAATGATTGTGAAACCAATAGAGAGCACAGAAGTAATATACAATCAAGTGATACACTCCAACTTTTCATGGCTTCTAAAATGCCAGAAACTAACCAGAATTCACCGCCTGCAAGATCATTTATCTCCAAAAAGAATTTAAATAAAACTGATTCGGAAGGTTGTTACGACGTAATTTTACAAATATTATTTGGGCATATAATTAATTTTAAAGACGCTTAAACCACACAAAAGTTTCAAAAAACATAATTTTGGTTTCGTTGCTCAATTTTTATATATCATGCAAATTATTTTTTCTCATACCACCGCCATTCAAGATTTAAATTTTTTACAGTTTATGCTTCTATTTTTTTATTATTTATAGAAACTTTTTCTAGAATTTATCATCCATGCAAAGTATTACACGTTTCATACATATATTTTAACATTTTCTTGTAAAACACTCAAAGTTTATTTTCTTCTCTTCAACACCATTATCCACGAAATGATGCTACTGTTTTTTTTGTTTCTTTTATGCGAAATAAGTTGGTTTAAAAATATTTAGTGTTTATGGATATATTGTTTATAATTGTTAATATGCGCAGATCTGCTTCAAATGCTATCTTTAAAAAATTTTTATAAACTTTGTGCCCGTTATGCATGTACATACAAATGAGTGCAGCCTTTAGAGCAGGGAAGATTAACTTTTAACTAACTACGTATGAATATGAAAGAACGATGCGTAAGCATGAATAAACAAAATTTAATTGTTTATTATAAATAATTTAAATTAATAAAATTTATCCACATTACAAAGTTTTAACTTTTTTTATAGGTTCTCACACTTTGAGAGACATTCCTAGTTTTGTTGCCAGTATATCTAAATTTTACGACAATGAATTACTGAGTGACATAGTGATAACTGTTGGCACCTCTCAATTTCAAGCACATAAATTCATTTTAGCAAAATCGAGTCGAGTTTTTCGAACTATGTTGTATGACGACACTTGGCGCTTGACTGATAGCATAACATCTGACAGATCTATAAATGTAACTAAATCATATGAGGGCAGATCTACTGAACTAAAGCTTGAGGAGACGCCGGAATGTTTGGCAGTTTTTGATCAATTTTTAAATTATTTGTATTCTGCAGAAGTCAACATCTGTAATACAACTGCGGTAGGTATTTTATGTCTGGCTGACAAATACGAAGTGACGTCTTTAAAAGATTTGTGTGTTAGTTATATGATCGAATGGTCTAAGAGTCCACTCGTATCAAATGCCTTGTCCTGGTATAATTGGGCAAAATTAATTTCGCTTGATTCCTTGATTGACCAGTGTGCTAAAACTATTGCTTGGAATTTTTCTGATGTTATTTCAAGTGAGGAATGGTTAAAAATGGATTTGGATTTTCTTACCGATTTTTTGAAAAGCTCTGAACTAGTTGTTAATAACGAATACGTTTTATTTGAGGCCTTAGTTTCGTGGCTGGAAACGGAATCAAATAAACCAAAGATTGAACAATATGCAAATATACTTTTCCCATTTATAAGATTTCCCCAACTTCACGTTTCGCAGTTGTACCAGCTCGAAAATAGTAACCTGTTTACAAATTCGGAGTGTTCTAAAATTTTGTCAGATTTAACAGCTAAGGCATACAGATTTAGAGCTGTCTGCCCCACTCAGTCAAACCTTGGAGCCTGCTTTAAGGATGACTTCTATTTCCCTCGAGATTACACGTACATGATAGTCGATAACGTTCGAATCCAAAATACAATAAGATTTGGAATTCAGTCAGATGTGAAAGCGGCTAGATGTCCTGTTTCTAGTGAGGGTCGCGACGCCGATTGGAAAATTACATACAGAAAACAAGGAGATGTAAGTTTCTTTTTACTTACTAGTTTTTGTAAGAATAAAATTTATAATTTCAAACAAATGTTTTGGATAAAATTAAAGTACAGAATTACTGGTCTGTTTTGGTCAACTATTTTTTGTCGAGTTATTGGGCCATAACCATTCATTTATTCTATTCATGCACATTATGTTGTGCATGAATAGAATGGAAAATTTGTTACAAGATAGAATATATAAAAAGTAGCTGACTTGAGCATGTTTAGAAAATGTTTAGATGTTCAATTAAAATAAATAAAGTTGTTGACGTTTGGTAGTTAAAACAATGCTTTTATCATACAAAGAAAATTTTATTTAGAAGCAAAATCAGTATATTTAAAGATGGATCCTTCACCATTCAAATTTAAAATTATTAAAGGTAATAATATCGATCACCCACTTATGTATTTAAGGAAGATAAACAGTTGGATTGATATATGTTTATAAAAATATAAAATACATGTTTATCAAATTATAAAAATTGTTAAATTTTTTTTAGGTTTGGTCACTGCAACTCTATTGCTTAGATACAGCGCTCGTCAATGGAGAAAGTCGAGTCCAGTTTTCGGTTGTTGTTTATAACGAGGTTGACAAAGTGCTACACGTCCATCATGAAGATACTAAGATCTGCGTGAGAGGAACGTCAGTCACTCTACAGTTCACTGTTGCACAAACTGAACATGCAAAAAATATGTCTGTTATTATCAAACCCGTCGCATCATAAGATGCACGAATCATGCATATTACACTATGCGTGTTTACTCTTTACATAACTTAAATAGTTAATTGACATAATCGCATAATTGTTATGAAATTGCTAGATGTATTATATACATCGTTTCCTTTATCATTTTATTCTCTACTCATTGGCTACATAATATATTCACATTGATATTTTTTCTATTCATGATATTGAGAGAAGCAGCACTTGCAGTTGTTATGTTTCGATTACTTATTATATACAATATATACTCACTAATGATTAGCTTCTAGTCGTGTGTTTACCGGATAACTTTTTTATGTATCATCACATTTTCATGTTAATTTTCATTTATAACTTATTCGTTTTACTTTATTATTTTTTTCAAATTTATTTCCATTATAAAAACCTTATCTTATTATATTTTATCAAGGATGGAGTTTGAATTTTTTTTCAAGTTATATGTTGATAATTGCTCTTTCAACAATTTCACTAATATAGAATATAGTTATAACAGGTTCAACAGTGTAGTAACATCTGCACATGTACAGTGTAAATGTAATGGTAAATAAATTGCAGAGAATTAAAATGATTTGAAGGTATTCGTCGTCTTTTTTAAAAATAATTTCATGCGACCCAGAGGCAGTGGCGGATCTAGACAACTTTGACGGGGTTACCAAGGTTTTAAAAAATATTTGACAACTGGGGGGAAAAATTTCTACAAAAACTTGGTGGCCAAAGAAAAAATTTGTACAAATTTGGTACAAATTTGTTTCGAAAATTTTTCTGTGCTCGCGGGGGTGCCAATATTTTCGGCTGATCTCAAATTTTTCCTAAAAAAACAATACTTTTTCGGTTAAAACAACTACTTTTACCCACTTTTAGCATAAATAACGCTCAACGGGAAGGCCAGTACCCCCACGGCTCCTAAATCCGTCACTGCTCAGAGGTGACCTTAATTAATCTGTAAGCTCTAGCTTCTGTCAAATACGTCATAAAGTTCTGCAATTGTTCTTGCTATCTAATCTACCGTTTTTCAGTCCGAAGGCGGTTTACTTAGTTTTTTACCTCAATAACCACCGCACACAAATCAAAAATTTTAATGTGTTATTCAACCTCAGTTTTATTCATTGCTGTTATAAACAAATGCAGTAAAAACTTCGACCAAAGTTACAATTTTATCGGATTCAGTAAAAGTAAATTATATCAATAAAATAATAAATTTATTTTCCTCGCCCGTGTACTTAGTTTGTGGTTGGTGCAGACTGCAAAATCAACATCTAGTGCGTGACAATTTGTGTTTATAAGGCACAGAATTATATAATTATACATGGTTCAATGAATAAATATCATATTTCGAATTTATATACGGAAATTCATCTATTTACGCCTCAACGGAATGTTTAAAAAAAGATTGAGAATTTACTTTACAGTTACACCCATAAAAAGAGTCACGGCGAAGTACAAAAATCGTACAAGAGGCCATCAAAAGAAAAATTATACTCGTTATGAAATAAATGCACGAAAAAACAAAAAAAGATTAAAGCTCTAAGTTTTTGTTCTACTTTTAAATTTGTGTAGCTTCACTTTTCGATAAAGTTTTGTTTTGTTTTGTTTTGCGTTTCCGTTGTTGATCGTGTTTTCGACGTTTAATTAAGTTGGAATAAAATTTGATTAATTAGATTAGATTAATTAGAAGATGGCAGATTCTCCGTTTCCAGATTTGAACGTTTCTGATTTTGGTTTCTTAAATGATATAACCACTAGACAAATGTGCAGTTACTGTGGCAAATCTCGAATGTACTACTGTTACACATGCTTCAAACCACTAGCCACACTTCAAGATAAGATGCCTGATGTTCAGGTTAGATATGTTAGGTTGGGACGGTTAAGTGTTAAAATATTTTTAAAATTCAGTGGGTTTGTCTTCTTTAATTATTTTGCAGTTAATTCAAAGATTCGGTTCTCCTTGTTTACTTACAAAATTGATAATTATAATAATTAATTGATAATATAATTATGTTTATTATAATGATAATTACAAAATTTTGTGTGAGAAGTTTACAGTGCGAGTTTGATTTTGGGTGCTGGAAAGTATAATGCATGAGAACTGTAGTTCTGCATCATAAATTGGACAATCTCAAATCTTATAAAATGTAATAATTACAGAATTCAAAAATGTTGAAATGCTATGAAGCACGAGAGTCGCATATCAAAGACATTCTTATATGATATAAATTATAAAGCAGAATAATTGCATGCTGATTTTGATGTTTAGACATTATAAAGCAGAAAAACCACACAAAAGTTTGGCATATAGTTGCTATAACAGGTATAAAAACTTCAAAAAATTTGACATCTTATAATGTAAAGTGTTATAATCATATGCTAATTTTAATGTTATGGTGATACAAGGCATGAAAATTGCAGCGCAAGCTGAACACTATGTTATAGGGTGCAAGATGATATATAGCATAAAAGATGTAAGTGAAAGTCGTCGTGACATTATGTCGTCAAGCATCCTATCATTTAGCCATTACTATTTCAGGCTCACAATGCCAAATTATATTAATTACGTGAGTGCACTCACAACGGTTGACACCCATACAGTAAAAAGTAGATCTCAAAATCAATTTTTAAACAAGACAAGATAAAACTTGTTCTTCCAAATATTTAATCGAAGTTGATTAATTATAATAATTATTTACCCCAAACTAGCACTTTTTTTGGTTAGAATGATACTTGAAAAACATAAATAATTTATGACAGTCATATTTGGGAATATTCACACTCAAAAGTAAAAATGATTAAATATTTTACAATTCTTAATAGAAAATAATAAAAGTTGTTACTAATGCATGTCTGAAAATATGTTGAAAATAAAAATATGTTTTAAATGATTTTTTGTATGTCTCATACATGTTTTATCATTCTCACAGTTTATTGCAACTTGATTAAGTTCTTGTTTGTCCTATAATTTGGGTGGCAGATAGATTTAGTGACGTTTTTCTTTATATTAAATTAAATATTTATTTATTTTTTACATTTTTCATATTGCAAAAAGAAAATAACTTGATAACTTTCATAGATTCATGTGTTTTTTATAATTTTTATTTAGTTGAATTTGTAATTTTATTTTTTGTATATGATGGTTACTATTAAAAAAAATTATGTTGAATGTACCTAATCATGATAAATGGTTAAATGATTGACTGATTGATTATTGTCTTATTGATTCACTATCCCCAATTAACTATTACTACTATAGAGTCAGTAGTACTGAACTGATTATTTAACTTAAAATTTAGAAAACATTCATCCCAATGCTTTAAGATTTGCTTTTCAAATATTACCAAGAGTCACTGTCATCAAGTCATATATCTTTGCTCTAGATTACAATATTTATAATGATTGAACAGAGTTTAAAAATGCTATGAATTAAAATTTTTATAATGTATTTTCAGTTTTAGCTAAAACACATGATTGTTTAATTGAATATTTGATTTGCTCCAAATATGTTTCCAGCTTCCATTTTATGTTGATATCATCAAACACCCAGGTAGTATTTAAAAAAATTTATTAGCATATTTTTCAAACAACAATCAATTTGTATTTTGTAGTTTGTATAATGCTATTATGTAGTGTTTGCTTAATCTGTTTCAACTTTTATTAATCACACAACCTATTAGGGTTGCACCAAAGTTCAGTCACTTTTCATTATCTGGCCATATTTGGTTCAGCTCTGATTATCATAGCAAGATAGGTAGCTGGATACTCTAAATTCTAAAGCATACTCAAACGCCTACATTGATATTCATTTGTATATACAAATTGTTTTGATATTCATACATTGTAATTGTACCAACAAATGTATCTTATTTTATAAATCTAAAATTTTTTTTGATTTCTACTTTATATATTCCAAGTAACTCTGGCCAGATATCCAAAAGTGTTTTCGGTGCACCCCTACAACATACATTTTTGCATTTGTGGGAACTGTAAAGTAACAGGTTCAATACACTTTAGCACTTGATAGACAAGGATTTCTTGGCATTCAAACCAATTCACTGCAATGCAGCACTAAGCACTCTGCCCCTACCACTTCTTGCTGTTCTATTATACACAACTCATTATTTTACATATTTTAAACTTCTTATAAACAACTTTAACTTTCTAAGTGAATGTTTTGTAATGTAATGTAAAAATGTAGAACCTGGTTTTTAACGTTCAAGAAACAACTATGAAGAAACTTTGATGTGCAGGTGAAATATGTGGCAAGAGTACTTCGGTGCATGCTGCCATCCTGTCCCCGCGCCACGTCAACATCCACATCTATCCAAACATTCCTCAGTATCTAGTCAACAATGTTGTAGCAGGTAAGGAGGATGAAAATCAGTTTGGAGGAAGCACTGTGCTCTTGTATCCGTGCAAGGAGTCATTCCCATTGAAAGAATTCGTGGCCACCAGGTTCAACAACATGCAACAGAAGAAAATTGGTCAATTAATAATAATATTATTTAAAAAAATATAAATATCATGAATAATGAAAATGATGATAACGGTAATAACATTTTTGTCTCAGATGTTACTCATGGGGTGTTGCAGAGAGTTGTTTTCATTGACAGCACATGGTTCCAAGCCTACAAGATACTTACAGATCACAGATTGCAGAGTTTGTAATAATTTTTTTCAAAGGATTTTGTATCTTCATCATCACGCTGTGCGATGATTATGCTAAAAATAATAGAAATGATATATAAATTTAACTGAATCGATCCATGTAATTTATCTAGTTCTATTTCCGGTGTACAACAGCGCTTTTCGAAGTTTAACAATTGCACAGTACACTTAAGCATATGATCGAAAGGGATTTCATTTTATTTGATTGTCATTACTTCAACAGGAGACCAGGCGCTCACGCCATACACAATTTCGCCATTTTCGTTGATTGATGTGCAATGGAGAAGATGCTTTGCACTGCATTTTTTGTTTATATAATGCAGTGTCGGATGAAAAATACTACTCTGACTCCGGCCCCAAAAAAATACCGACTCCAGCAAAAATCTCCGACTCCGATAATGGACATAATACTTTATATTTTTGCTGGCGAAACATTCTTGGTATTGTTCTGTTATACCAAAATGGCTTTTTTTGCTCTATCATGCTAAAATGTTCTATCAGGCTTAAAATAAATGAAAATTTTGGTTTTGAACATGACAATGATTTACGATCTACCGTTAAAAAACCGAAAAATTAAACAGGAAGCTAAATAACGCAGAACATGCTGTGACTTTGTCATCAATAATTGCATTCGATAATAAATATTCAACAGCGGGCAATTGGAATTCTTCCTACCAATAAATTTAGAAACAGAGGAATCATCGATAATGAAAACACGTAAAAAGTGTTATATTTTATGACGTTGAGGATTGTAAAACTAAATATTCACTTTAAACAAACAAGGAACCAATAAATAGGCACAGTATAAAAATATTTGAGCATCTGGTCACAACCACAACATATCAATTTGAACACCGAAGATAGTAAATGAATACCGAAAAAAGCTTTTCTGTTCTATCATGCATAAAATAAACAAAAATTTTGGTTTTGAACTAAATTGTTATATGTAGTTCATCTGGTACTTAGGCTATAGTATTTTTAACAAAGGAACTCTAAGTTCCATTATCAAGAAACTTGAAAATGATTTACGGTCAACCCGTTAGAAAAATCGAAAAGTTAAATTGGAAGTTAACTAACGCCGAACATGCTGTGATTTTCATCAATGATTGCATATATCAATCAATCATCGTTTAACGTCCAGAGACCCAGTTCTCCCGAGGTTGGACGTTGTTTTCTTAGCCATCAATTTTTGCGCCAAATTAGTTGATCAGTTGTATCCATTTCATTTAAATTTAGAGCTTTCATTTCTTGCTTGATTGTTTGCGACCAGGACTTTTTTGGACGGCCTTCGGGACGTGTGCCAGGTACTTCAACATCTGCAAGAGAAGTTATGGCACTGTTTCCACTTCGTTTGACATTACCAAACCTCCTCAGACGGTGTTGCCGGCATTCGACCTTTATATCATCTAAACCAGCACGACGCAGGATTTCGGTTGATTTGATGTGGTCCTTCAGACTAATTCGTTGCATCCATCGGAGCATTTTTGCAGCATGAATTCGGAAAATAAGTTTATTTTGAATTTTAATAAACTAAACGTTCACCAAAAAACTTTAGTAAGAAAAATCGAAAAAACGAACTACAAACATTCGGTAGAATTTATAGAATATTGTAAAAATTATGGTCTATTACCAACATATATATATATATTCGTTCATTAACCTTTGTCTGAATTTATTTGACAATTTCAAGTAGATGTGATTGTCAAAGCGATCGATTTATAAATTTGAAAGAGCCACAAATAGATGAATAGAGCAGAAAATGACGAACTTGTTATCAACCATATTTTGCATGTTGTAAGCAGCTTCTGTGTTTGCCTGTTTCTGATTTTTTATAGAATAAAAAAATAATGAAAGAAAATTACGGTAGCCACGGTTTTATATACTTACATACATATATTGTGTTGTGTGTATGTATATATATATATATATATATATGTGTGTGTGTGTGTGTCAAAGCGCATGCTATAATGTATAGTTGGATGCATGTAACTATTTGTTGAAAGAAACGAAACTGCTTTTTGTTATCCGATCGATGTTCGTGGTTGTTGCCACAACAGTCTACAAATTTTCATAATCATGGCGTTGAGGATTGATTGATTGTGGAGATTCAATGAATTATTTTTATAACAATTAATAAATCTGCGGTGATTTTGTGAATTTTATTATCTTTCAACAAATAGTGAAGATCATGTAATGTATTATCACGCGCATTCACGTAAACTGAAAATAACATTTGGTTTGTCGATATTGGTCATTTGAGAATTGTTTTTCTTTGTTGATGAAAATTTGGAAATTGTTATTTAGATTTAACGCAGATATAATTCATAAAAGTTATTTCAACGCAGATATAATTAATACATTAAAAACGATAACACTAATGATATATATAAGAAGAATGTGTTGGTATTAATTAATGCAACCTGCTTTTTCTTACTCTAGATATCCCACGCATCGAACTTGACGCGTATGAAACAAAGTTTTGGCGCTACCAACTGGACAAACCATCCACATATTTGTCTACCATTGAAGCTATTTATTATTGTGTCAAAGAGTACAGCGCTTGTATTAAACAGTTATCACACGATTCTGGTAACCTTTATCTTATCGTGTTTCATTTTAATGGTGATCATATATCTGAGTATTTAACGATGCGTCATCAACAGGTTGCGAATCGCATGTAAACACACGTTTATTCAGCAAAGAATTAATCACCACATCTGATGTATCAACAAAAACGGGTTTGACAATTACAAAATCAAATGAAGATTGCGTTGGATATGTGAATCCCGAATCAAATGTAAAACCGTTAATAAATCTCAATGAACCAAATTATGATGATCTATTATTTTTCTTTTGTTTCTTTTATTGTAAAATAAGAAAAAACGCTAGCGAATCTGGTCGAATATTAAAGTCCTACTCCCAGCAAAGGAAAAAGAAACAGTGACGACAAAAATTTGGACGGTTATGAAAATAAAATAATAATTTTCAAAAGTTTATATTTACTTTTGTTATTGCTTACATGAATAAAACAGTAAATAATCATTGATAAAAAATTTTTCATTTTTGTTAATACCTCACAATGCAATGTTGACTTACTGAACATTTTAAGAACATTTCTATAATCTCAAATACTTGCGGGTAGTCTTAACCTTGAAGATGTTAAAACTTGATGTCTACCGACATTATCTCTTGTAAACAAAAGGTTAAAAAAAAGTCTTACACTTCCAAGGTTTAGAGTAAGTAACAACACAAACAACGCATACGAACACGTGCTAAATGACGCATCACTTGGCAAAACATGTGATAGGCGTGGATCTTTCTGCTATATTCGAACCCGGTAGCTGCACGCACTGCGAAACATGACTAGGCGCCTTTAATAAATAGGCCATTACTCCGCCCGTGGAGGCCGTGTGTGAGCGTCGCCCCAACGAGGCTTAATCAATAGATTTTCCAAAAAGATGAAAGTTGAATTTTGGTTTTAAATTACTAACCAAATTAACTATGAAAGTTGAATTTTGGTTTTAAGTTAGTAACCAAATTAACTATGTTGGATGCGTCTTCACAATTTGACTAGTTAACTAATTGGGAAAAGTATCATGTCTCGCGTTGTAATTACGCGATGACCTGGTCCGAATACTGTGTTCTAAATTATATAATATGTAGAATAGAATATAAAGGCTTTTGGGTTTTTAAAAAACATGTTGCTCTAAGGGGTAATTAGCATATGTGCTGCTAAGGGATTATTAATATGTGTTGTGTACTCTTAAAGGTATTTCGCATTTTACGTATATGTTCCATATATATATATATATATATATATATACATATATATATATACATATAACTAAAATATATATATCAATATAACTAGAATAATATATATGTATGTATATAATATAGAATAAAAGCTATCCGAACATATTCTTAGAATTCCTATATAGGCCCCACCACAACGCACCGTGTACATTTTTGGCGTGTTTCAGTGTCTCGTCTCATTCGTTAGTTTGTTTGAAAAATTATTCATCAAACTAATCAAATTTTCACATTTTTATAGTTCATTAAAAAATATTCATTCATTCTTTAAAGATTTATTCATTTTAATTATTTTTAATTGATTTATTTAATGATATAATATTTGTACGTATTAAATATCATTTTTCTGGTGTACGCATGGATTAATATATTTATGAGTGCACGTTTAGACCAATGTAGCGGGATCTTTTAAATACCGATCCACGTGTGATTGAAGTTTACTTTTAGTCATTTACAAATCTTGTTGGCCGGAGTTTTTGACTTAAAGAGTTGTTGAAATATTTTTTTTATAAAATACGAAAAATCTGTATTTCGTTAGTTAAATGAGAAAAAAACATCGAGGTTTATTTTATTTAGTTTATTTCTTAGTGAAAATTTATTTTAAACTGTTAATTAAATATTTATAAAAAATTTAAAATACTTGTTTTTAGTTATTTCTAAATTTTATATATTTTTTAATAAAATAAATAAATATTATAATATGAAGAAATAATTAAAAACAGTAAACTAAAAATTTAATAAATAAATAAAAATGGAAATGAACATATAATGTTAATTAAAGACTTTTAATACTTTTAATATTAATAGTAAACCTAAAAAAGCCAAAAAATTAAAAACTAGTTCTAGTACAATGTAGTGTAGTGTAGTGTAGTAACTTATTTAATAATTTTGTGTATTTACTTTATTATTTATTTATTTTATAATAAAAAAAAGTAAATATAACAAATTATTAAATAAGTTTAATTTAAATTTTATAAAGTCACCCACACTAAAATTCTATAAGAATTATTTTCAGTGGTTTTTTGTATCGACAATTTGAAAAATTATTGCAAAAACTAGACTCCATAAAGTTAATGAAATTTGCATAATTCATACATAAATTTATTATTTTTGAACCCTGACATTTTCACAGACCCTCCTACATGGTTGGTTAAATTTTTATTCAAAAAAATTTGGTTTTAATGTTAATTAGCAATTAATGGAAAATGAGCTTAACATTTTCAATTAATGTTTTATAATTAACCTGCAAACTTCACAGCCCCTAGATTATTATTTTATGAGTTCTTGAGTTTCATCATTTAATGCTTCTATCAAAATATTTGGCTAATTTCACACACCTATCATTAATTTAGAATGGCATCATAAATTATTCTTCACAGGGATTGATTGTTTACTTTCAATGTGGTAAGCATGGGCTTAAGGCTTGGGTTAGAGACATGGCTTATAAATTATAATTGTATGTGGACAAAATTTATTTAATCCCCTATCATTTGTGCACAATTTTTGACAGAATATGGTTACATTTCATGCATGAAACAAATGAAAAAAGTTGCCATTAGTCACTATTATTGCTATTATTTTTATTATTGTGGCTATATATACCAATCACAATCCAGTACAGATTGGAGTACATACAAAACCGTTTTGATGAACGCTGCAATACAGATGGTGGGAAAATTGGTACTGAACTGAACGGGATATGTGGTGGTGGAATGACAGTGTACAGAATGCAATAGCTGAAAAGAAAGCTGCATACAAGCAATGGTAAAAATCAAAGTCTGTTGATGACTACAAAATTTTCTATGAGAAGAACAACTATGCAAGACGTCAAGTTGCACTGGCTCGGACAGATCAGTGCAGAGAGTGGCTCACTAAAAGCAAAGGCGAACAAATGAAATCTCTGTATCGAATAGCAAAACAAGCAAAGCGTACGAAAAAAAACATAGTTGGTGCCTCATGTATCAAAAATGACCAAAATGAGATGGTTCTTGAACAAGATGAGATCAAGCTACCGTGGAGAGAATACTTCAACCATATGTTAAATGAAACAAATCCTATCAATGTCAACTTTGACGCTCCACCCATCGAAGGTCCGATTCCAGACATCACTGTAGAGGAGCTTACAGAAGCTCTTAAAGCTATGAAGGATGGAAAGGCAGCAGGGCCTTCTGGACTCACAAATGACATAATCAAAGCATCTGGTACTGCAGGTAACCAAACGTTACTACAACATTGCCGTGAAGTCTGGAGAAATTGCTCAATGCCGACAGAATGAAACTATAGCATGACAGTTCCGCTATACAAAGGCAAAGGTGATCCATTGAACTGTTCATCATATCGGGGTATACGTCAGTTAGAACACTCTGAAAATAGTTGAGAAAATCATTGAGAAAAGATTTACGTCGTGCATCACAATCGGAAATTATCAATTTGGTTTTCTAGCAGGGAAAACAACAATTGATGCAATTCACATCTTTCGGCAACTGCAAGAGAAGTACCTTGCAAAGCATCAACAACTATCACACATTTTTGTAGACCTTGAAAAAGCATTTGATTGAGTTCCCCGTGAAGAAATCAAGTGGAGTCTACGTCGACAACTCATTCCAGAATATCTTGTTCGACTTGTGATGGAAATGTATACGAATACTAAGACTCTTGTCAGTATTACGTTTGGAAACACAGATACATCTGACATCGGCGTTGGAGTTCACCAAGGCTCGATTCTCAGTCCACTGTTATTTATAACTGTGATGGAAGAAATCACAAAACCAATACGCACTGGTGACATTTGGAATCTAGTATATGCTGATGATATCGTTTTAACAGCCACGTCTGAGCAGAATGCAGCACAGATGTTTGAAGATTAGATCACTAGACTGGCCGATCATGGATTCTAAGTCAACATCAGCAAAACCAAAGCAATGAACACTGGTGAACCCATCCAATCCACAGCTACTGGACAATGGCCCTGATCAGTTTGTAAAGCTGGTGTAGGTAACAATTCAATCAAATGTCAACAGTGTAACCAGTGATGTCACAAACGTTATTCAAAAATAATTGGTAATTTATCTAAAGTGTCAAATTATGCTTGTCCTGCTTGCATCAATTCGCATCAGCAAATTCGAAATAGCACTGTTTTTGAAGCTATTAAGGTAGAGAAAGTCACATCGTTTCAATATCTAGGGGATGTTCTGGATTGTACATCAAATCTACCGAAATCCTGCGTCGTGCTGGTTTAGATGATGTAAAGGACGAATGCCGGCCACACCGTCTGCGGTGGTTTGGTCATGACAAACGAAGTGGAAACAAAGCCATAACTTTTCTTGCAGACGTTGAAGTACCTGGCACACGTCCCAAAGGCCGTCCAAAGATATCCTGGTCTCAAACAATCGAGCAAGACATGAAAGCTTTTAATTTAAATGCTTAAATTTAAATGATATATTTAGATTGTTTCAGATTTTGGTATTGTTGAGATGGTGTCAGAGAACGCAGCCCAGAAGTCATTTTTCATCTCTTCTGATTCGCCTGTCTGTGGTGGTATGCAGAAAAAATAGTCAATGTTTGCTTTTCTAGGCGAATCTTGATCCACATGAGACGTGAATTAATCTTTTTAATATCCAGTACTTCTTGGGCAAGCGGTTCTTTGACAAAAATTCCAACACCATTTTTGGCCATCCTTTGACCATTCCAGAATAGTTTATATTTTTCTTCGTCTGAATTGTTATGACAAACACCATTCGATTTCCATCGGGTCTCCTGAAGGCAGCAAATGTCAATCCTTCTACGCTCAAGCATTTCTGCTATTTCCATGCTGCGGCCAGTCAGTGATCCAACATTGAGTGTTCCAAGTCTAAGTACCATAGAGGGGCCATTCTGAATTTTTCTGCAACATCCCTCCGCTATTGCATACTTCCCAGGGATTCTTAGCACTTCTTGACCACTTAAGGCCTGCTGTGGACTAGGGACCGTTGTTTTTTGTGATAGCATGGAATAAATTTTGGGGAAACTTTTTACATCCGGACACCCATCTTGACGACAACCACCAGTTATAAGCGGTGGGCCTAGCCTTTTGCTCAAAAGCACGCAAGGCAGCGTGGATGCAGTTTTATGTCATGCCCAGGATTAAGTTTAAGTTTGCCTAGAATCTAAGTTCATAAAAAAATTATTATTAGTCTATACGTAATATAAATATATAATTTACACATACAATGTAAATTGAAGAACCAGAAAAATTAATTCATATCCATATACAACTGATTGTAACGATTTCATAATTTAGTCATCTAGTGCACTTTGCACACTAATGGACGCCTGTGTACATTTATATGTATATAATGCATGTAACATAAACATATATAATTTTTGTATTGAATTCCCTGAACCCAAGTACATGTTCGTTGGTACTAATAGGAATGTACTTTGTAGTCAGGAAAATGATCAATAAAGTAGCTAATTCATAATTAAATATTCATGGGATAGTATTTGTTTAGCTCCACTGTGTTTAATGTTTGAAATTCATTAAATTATTACAGATTGAAATTTCTAAAGTGATATGGGCAAAATTTATGAAATGGTGGAAAGCAAAGAAGTTGGTGGTTCAGGAGAAATCGTATTACTTTCAAAAACAGGTGGTCGTTATGGAGTTGACAAAATGCTGTTCCAGCAGGTGAGTGCTTATTATCAGGCTCTCATCAGCAGTGGAATGAAAGATTCACATTTCCAAGAACTTTCACTTGAGTATTTGTCTGACAATTGCTTGCTCGAAGTTAGGGAGTACTTGTCAAAATTGCAAACCGATGAATATGAAAGAAGTTACCAGTTCAGCATGAAGCTGTTGAATGAAGTTGAGTATGGTTTGGAAGGTGCAACTTATTTGCAGATTAGTCGCATGACTGATGAGTACCTTTTATTGCTGATGGGACATTTGAAAGATAGCACATGGGTACATATTTTAGATTTTGTCACCAAGCTCTCGCTGAATTCTGGAATTGAAAAAGTTTTGCATTTCGTTTGTGAAAATTTTGACAGTCTCAAGGACCAGCCTGACATTTTAGCATTATCAGCAGATGAACTGTTTTATTTAGTTAGATCCGAGCTTGTCGATGCGAACAGTGAATTTGATGTATTCAGTTTCGCCATCAGATGGATCTCAGCTGATCATTCAAGGAGGGTCCACGCAGACAAGTTACTAGCTGAAATAAATTACCGTTTAATGACAGCAGTTGAAAAAGAAAAAGTTGATGAAGTGGCTAAGCAGCTTAATTTGAATGTTTGTCAGACTGAATGCAGTGTAAAGTTTCGTCGTACGATTCCTGTTGTGTTAGCCCTTGCGAGAAGTTCTTACAAAGTTAGCATAAAGTTTAACATTTTTATGTTTAGTATTTTTTAATTCTACGTATTTATTTTGTTCTACTTGATGACTGATATATATCTATGTTTGTAAGTAAATTGACATCCATAACCTTCATTTCATGCTGAGTTTTGTTCAAATCATTTAAAGTTTTTATTTTTGCATCGTGATAACTTTGTTGTAATATTTGACTGATCTATTTCATTAATTTGCTTATATTGACTCTGGACAACTATATAAACTATTTCTAAATGTTGACTATAATGTTGACAAATTAATAATAATGTGTGGTTAACTTTAAATTTTAAAAAAACTAAAATATTTGGCAGGGGTTTCATGATTATCATTTTCAAGCACTGCCTGTTGATGATCTTGAAAACATTTTCAGAATTCCTCCTCCAGAAATTTTCACAATCTATGAAACATCACCTGTCATCAAATTTAAATGCATTGAGAAGCAGGAACTGACTAATATTCGGGGGTTTGGACATGGAGTCTGTGAGCTCGATAACTGTTTGTATGTTGCTGGCGGGCAAGTAGACGAGTCCGTTGTCTCTGATGAACTTTATGTTTTCAATGTCTTTCATTCCACCTGGTCGAAAGTTTGTTCACCTGTTCATTTTAAATATTTTATTAATCATTGAGATTCCTGTATATTTCCTGTTTAGTTTGTTTGCTTGTTTGTTTATTTATTTTAATAATATTAATAATTAGCACATTTCAAAATTGCTTAAAACATTGTAATTAATTTTTATTTGCATTCTTTTGTCAGTTGAAATATATGCTATTTTATGTTGATCAGTGAGTTGAATGAGATAGCATATGTGCCATGTTATGTTCAGCATTGTTATTTTGCACTGATGGTTCAAATCTTGCCTGAAACTCAAAAACTGTTGTTCACCCTACCTGGAGTTATAACTAATTTCCTGACTCCTTGAGTCCCACTAAAAATTCTCGATTCTCAATTCCGTCTCCTTGCCCGACTCCCCCCAAATAGTTTAAACTTTTGTTTTGCAACTTTACTAATTAATGAAAAATATTTAATAAAACATTTAAAATCAGCAGACATAATTGTTTTCATTGGCAAAAATTATTCTATATTAATGTTTTAAAATGTACTGAAAAATAATATTACTTTTGCATTATTGTGCACTACTTATTGCTTATGTCTAAACAACAAATAGCGTCTTTTGCTGCTTCTCAAGGATGCTAATAGTTTTGTTGCTAACAAATCTCACAGCAGCACTAGAAAGAGAACCGTCCCTACCTACACTTTCTGTCTTAATAAATGTGCTTGAATTCAATATAATATTTTCATTATTTTGATCATCTTTAGAAATTAAAAAAATTGCACGGCGCGTTTGCAATCATCCATTATCATTGTTAAAGATGATTTTGTAATGCTAAACATGTCTATTACTTGAAAAGCATAAGTTTGAAAATCTTTTTTGAAGATTAAAATAAATTTATTTTTGAATTCTTAACACTTTCCGGTGTCCGAGTTGAGTGAAATATATTTGACTCCGGCCCATCAAAAAATCTGACTGCGGCAAAATCTTCCAACTCCAACACACTGTCAAAATATCGTGAATGAGCAAATGTTTATGCATGCGCTAAGTTTTTAATGTCCATCAGAATTGTCACTCAGTGCGAAAGATTTGTAACCTGCTCTGCGTTTGTTTTTGTTTTTTGGTTTACCTGGTTGTAATGCGCCAAACTTTGCATCACATTTCACAAATGAAAAAGTGTTCACTTTTTCATATTTTATAAATAAAGTTTAAATATTTAATTAAAATTGATTTAATTTATGATCAAATTAATTTCATTTTTCAAAAATATCCAGTGCTCTAAAATGAATTTTCCGAGAAGTTTGTTCTATTTTGGTCAAATGAATGGACATTTGTATGCAGTTGCTGGTAGCATAGAACCCAAAAAAGATACCAGGACGGTTGAAAAGTACATTCCTAAGGAAGATAGATGGTGCATGTTGGCACCTCTCTTCGTGTCTCTGCATGAGATGTCTGGTAAGATATTACTTTTTTGTAAGTTTTTTTTATCAGGTTTTCAAATTTTAATTAATCAGTCAATAAATTAATTAATTAATTAATTTTATTGATATTTTAATTCGAACAACATTTTTCATATTGATGCATGTTGCTCTCTCGTTAGGTTGTGTGGATGGTAGCAAATTGTATGTTAGTGGAGGATCAGAGAGCTTCACGGAATATCAATTTATGCTTTCTAACGGAATGAAATCAGTGTGGCAGTATGATGCCGAAAATGATAGGTGGCAGTCATTGGCTCCATTGCTGGTTGGGCGTAGGGGTCACAGCATGAGGTGCATTGGAAACAAACTGCTTGTCATTGGTGGAGCGAAACCTATCACGAACCACATATACCGGGATATGATGGTTGGCCTCACTCTGTTGAATCCAATTTTCATTTTTCTTAACTTCTTCTTTTATGTCTAATTAAGCAACTTTAACGAAAAAATCTTTGTTAATGATCAACTGGTTTTTCAAATCGAAGTATATTTTAAATGAATTAAATAATTGTTTTTTAGAATTAATATTGATTTAATTTTTGTTGAAAGAAAGAATATTTTTACTTAATGGACGTTGATTTTTATAAAGGATGGAGAGGTGTATGATTTTGAAACAATGCAATGGACGTCTATCTTGAAGTTGAAGATGCCCGCCTGTTGTTCTCCATTGGTCCTCATCGACAAATGTCTCTACCTTATTGGTGGACATTCATTTCAGTATGGAGATGACAACACTTTCATCCAGTTAATCAACTTCTCCAAGCATTTGAAGGGATGTACAGACTCTGAGTCAGCGCCTGACAACCCTCCCAATGACGATAACCACCTAGCCATTGGTGATTCAACCAGTAAACTTAATAAATCTAATAGCGCTAGTGCCGATGAGTTTAATATTTACGAATACGGAAACGGAAGGAAATTTTTTCCTGTTGTACATATTGTTAGATTGGCAAGAAGGCACTTTAAACAATTTGTTGATGTAGTAATGTAATCGGACTGTTGATAATTTTTGTTATTTGTAGCATTCCAATGTATCTCAATGTCGTACAGGACTTTTTGCAAATATTTTGTATGTCAGCGTTTACAGTTAGGGAGGAATTTTTGTAAATATCTTGTAAATAAAAAATTTTATGCAAAAAAAGAAAAATTACAACTCTTACAACTGTGATCTGTTTTTGTAGTTCAAGAAGAATTATCGGGAAAAAATATTTTATTTGCTACATGAATTATATTGAGTACACGAAGTACAGTGTATGCATATAGCTACATATGCAAGAGTTTGGCAGCTGATAATCCGAAAATTTTTAGTAAGTGGATGGAATATTTTGAATGTTCCTACTTTTCTGCTGTCTTTCTTTGTATAGAACATTTTACAAATTTTGAGAGAAGTTTATCCACTTTAAATTCTATTTATAATTTTTTAAAATCAAAAAAAGAAAAATTACAACTCTTACAACTGTGATCTGTTTTTGTAGTTCAAGAAGAATTATCGGGAAAAAATATTTTATTTGCTACATGAATTATATTGAGTACACGAAGTACAGTGTATGCATATAGCTACATATGCAAGAGTTTGGCAGCTGATAATCCGAAAATTTTTAGTAAGTGGATGGAATATTTTGAATGTTCCTACTTTTCTGCTGTCTTTCTTTGTATAGAACATTTTACAAATTTTGAGAGAAGTTTATCCACTTTAAATTCTATTTATAATTTTTTAAAATCTCATTTTACATTTTTTTTATAACTCAAAACTGGCGGGCAGAATGCATTCCTGTGTTGCAGTGATCAGTAATGTAGGCTGCTATTCAGAACGCCTTGAGCCCCAGTTTAGTAATAACATATGTTAGATTGCACTGAAAAACTAAAAGGCAGTGGGACCCAAACGTAAAATTAACAAATGGTGTCTCATAAAGATGAAATATTTTGTAGTGACCAGTTGGATGGACCCCGCAGTACGCTTGTAGACGATCGCTTCATCTCTTAAACCTTCCAGAAATTACAATGTTGGATGTTGTCTTGCACATTTTATTTCGACGATCGTTGTTTTGTTCTCACTCTCTTAATTCTTGTCAAATATTTTTGCGCCCTGCCTGCTTTTGTTTCTTCTTGTTTTTTCTCCAAAGATTTTGTTTATCTTTACTATACCTTAAAGTTTATGTATTCAATTGAAATATTGTATTTGAACTTATCGTCAACAAGGAATTTTCTTTATTAACAGTACTCATATACTCGAGTACTAAAATGTTTATCAATTCAGTATTTAAGTAACAAACACTGCCATTAGTATTTAAATATTGTCCACAAGTGACTAAAAAATAAAAGAGATAAAAAGGTAATAATAATATTAAGGTTATCGGGTTATCCAATCCTCACCTGGCAGAAAAATTTCAAAAAATAAATAAAATTGAAAACAGTTCAGTAACGATTTCTCCGATCGACAACATAAAAAAAGGTTAAAGGTCATTCACTCGCTTCAGAGATATCAACAAACACAGAGCGTATATGAATGCGCGTAAAAATCACGCTTCATACACATTGCATACGATAGGTGGGGATCTCTTTGCAACGAAGGAATTGATGAGAAGGAAGGGAAGTGAAGTACCTAATACAAAATTGAAGCTTCTGGTTATCTTCGTCAAGTCGGCTAGAAACAGCAATTCTCAAACATCACGATTAGATCATCAGACCCTCCATTCATCAGCCCTGTCATCAAATATCTATACTTCGCCAAAAAAATAAATTCATGAGATCAGGATCCATCCTCAAAGCCGCAGCAGTTACCAAATAAATCAATAAACTAATCATCAACTTCAACTCAAAAACTTTCACTAATAGTAAGCGTGAAATCAAAGCCATGTGGGACTAGAGGCACTGACAAATTATTCAACACGTCAACCTCACAGCAAATTTATGCCAACACACTTAACACCCACTTTGCTTTCATGTCAACCGTCTCGTCCTACTAAACTCCACCAACAAAAATAACAAGAATCAATAGTCGTCAACATCAACAATTTACCCCATACTACTACTCTACTCTTTCATCTATTCTACCTATTAACTCTAGCGTAGTTCAAGGTTCTGTCCTTGGACCATCAACCTTTATCATCAATGCTTTTACTCTCAAAACTCTTCATTGCTCTAATCAAATCATCAAATACGCCGACGACACTTACCTTGTCACCCCATCATCTAACACAAACACCATCCAATCAGAACTCGACTCATTAACCACATGGTCAAAACGATGCAATCTGTCACTTAATCTCAATAGATCATTCAAACTCATCATTCACAGTAGTCGTAAAAGAATAGCATTGCCTCTAGAACACCCATCAATCACTCACACAAATCAATTAAAAATATTAGGCATCACATTCACCTCAACACTTAATATAGCACCTCATATCAATCACATCATCGCAAAAAGCTTTCAAACATTTAACGCACTCAAAACACTCCGCTCACATGGATCAAATTTCGACATCAATGAATCGCTCATATTCTCACGCATAAAATATCATGCAGCACCCTCCTAGTCTGGTTTTGCTACACAACAACTTCAGCAACTACAATCTCTCATCAAAAAACTAATCCGCTTCAATTGTCTACCAGCATCATATCCTACCGTCACTCAGGTATTCAACACACTCGATTCAAGGCTGTTCAAGAAAGTAGAAAATAACAACAACCACGTCATCCATCCTCTACTACCACCAATTAAAACTACAACACATAACCTTCATCAGCGCAAACACAACTATCAAGTCGCCACCCAATCTATATATCAGCAAAAGACTTTCATCACAAGACACCTTAAACATATTAACACTCAATAAAACTTTATCATTCACACAACTAGTTTTTTTTTATTTATCGATCACCTCACTAAATCATTAACTCATCTCAGTCTATTAATTTGCGTTTTTATGCCATTACTTCATTTTATAGTTAATTTATTTTATTTTATTCTATTTATATTATTATTTATTTTTTATTTTATTTATATTTTAAAACATTTTTCATTTTCCGATTTTTTATTTATTTATTTACTAATTTGTTTAATTTTGTACTTCTGCCTTGCATGCTTTAACAGTTTCTGCGTCTGTCAGCTCCTAATATTTTTCAAGAATAATAAAAAAAGATTTGAAAATAAGCAAACGAAGAATATAAAAAACTTGTCCATACAAAAAAAATAACTTTTTCAAATTCAAAAACTAAACTAAACCCTTAAAAGATATATATATATATATATATATATATATATATATATATATATGTGTGTGTGTGTGTGTGTGTGTGTGTGTGTGTGTGTGTGTGTGTGTGTGTGTGTGTGTGTGTGTGTGTGTGTGTGTGTATTAAGACTGTCAGAAATGCAATTATTGATGAAAATCACAGCATGTTCGGCGTTAGTTAACTTCCAATTTAACTTTTCGATTTTTCTATAAATCATTTTCAATTTTTATTTAACTTTATGCATGATAGAACAGAAAATCTTTTTTCGGTATTCCTATACCATATCCGGTGTTCAAATTGTTAATAAATATTGGATTAAGACTGTCAGATTTTTGCCAAGATTTTTTCTAATTATATCTCAGATTTTTCTAAAAATAAACCAAAATGCTCATGAATAATTAATTTTTAGAAACTTGCTTCCAGAGGTAACTTGCCCGTTAAAAAAAATTTTCAATGTTAAAACGCTGGTAGGGCGCTTCCAGTTATATAATTCCATGGTGTTAATACGTTTGAGATAGTTTTCACTACTCAAAATTCAGGACCTGCTTCAATATACACCGCGGAGAAACTTGTTATAGACATGGCTTTAAACTTTATTATTAATTCAGAGAAAAATAAATTCATAATATTTTCGGATTACTTGTTTACTCTATCAGCCCTGAAGCAATACAAACCTCTAAATCCATTAATAATTCAAATGCAAAATAAGATTCATAATATCTTGGATAGCAACAAAAAATTAATTATAATGTGGATCTTCAGCCACATTGGAATTAAAGGAAATGAAATGGTAGATCAGATGGCTTCTCAAGCTCATTTGATGCCATTATCTAGAGTTCCAATTCTGTCCATTAATTTAAAAAATTTAACAAACAACCTTATTGTTGAAAAACGGCAACAGGAGTGGAATAAAACATCAAATTTCTTAAAATTAAGTATGCCATCAGTAAATAACAAAAAGCTCAAAAATAAATATTTAAATCGTCATCTTCAGTCTGTTATCAATAGATTAAAAATAGGACACTCAGCAATCACACATTCCTGTATCCTCAACAAAACAAAGCCACCTTATTGTGAAGCCTGTGACAAAAAACTATCTATTCAGCATATATTAACTGAATGTTAAAAATACGATCAGATCAGAAGGAAACTGAAGAATTGCTCTTCCAGAATAGAAGCCAGACAAAATTCAATCAATCAATCAATCAACCGACCAACCAACCAATCAATCGATCAATCAATCAATCAATTAGCTTATAAAGCGCTATTTCCGCGATGTTCAACAGCGCTCCTCAATGAATTTTGAAAACAGATGAGTCTTGAGATCCGCTCTGAACTTCGCAAATGATGGAGAAGTAGTCAGGGAAGTAAGTAGAGAGTTCCAAAGAAAAGGACCAGAAAAAGCAAATGCAGATTTGGCAAAAGAGTGTTTAACACGAGTTAAGAAAAAGCGAGAACAAGAAGACGATCGTAAACCGGGGCGTTTGGGTTCAATTAATATATCTGATAAATACTTAGGAAATAATTTAGATTGAGATTTATACATGAACGTGCAAATTTTAAAACTTATTCTATATTTTTTAGGTAGCCAGTGCAAGAGAACAAGATATGGAGATATATGAAAAAAGAAAGGGGCACGAGCAACTAGACGAGCGGCAGAGTTAAAAGCTTTACTTAAAGGATAGAGTATAGAGTCAGGAAGATCATAGTAGAGCGAGTTACAATAATCAATTCTAGATAAGACTAACGAAGTAACAAGAAGGAGAAGAGTAGGATCATCAAGAAAAGGCAAAAGTTTTTCTATTCTACGTAGATGAAAGTAAGAGCTTCTAGCAACACTATTAATCTGAGAAGAGAGAGACATAGTAGAATCAAAGATAAAACACAGACTACGAAACTTATGAGAGACATCAACAGTTTTAGAATCA